ATGGAGAAATGAATCGGATAGGAAATTCTTTGTTTTTGGTATTGCTAGTTTTTGAACACTTCTGCAGTGTCCAATCATAATTTATAATGTAAGTAAATAATAAACATCTTAGTTCAAGTTAACATCAAAGTAAGAAACATGATATAATTTGGTGTTTAATTTGTAACGCGATATTCTTCCCAGTCATTGATTTCAACAGGAGTACTCATGTATGTAAAATCAAACAGATGCAAAAATATTTGCTGGATTCAAGGCATATGACACAAACACAGTTTACATTTTTCATTATGTGAAATTTACATTTTTTTTGCCTTGTGGAAATTTTTAAGAAATGTGTCATTGTACAGTTGTTGTACATTGGCCTCATAGTGCAATTTACAGTTCATTTTTAAAAATAATTTTGAATGCTATGACTGGTGCTACATTATGCCAAAAGCATACCATGTTTTTCTGTTTACCTATTTTAAATCGAATGTATACATTCTAAACATTTCTAGTATTTATTTGTTTAAGGGACCTGGGATTTTAACACGAACAAATATTGACTACAAACAAACCAACATTCAGCAAGTATAAGAAAAATATTAAAATTACACTTTGCTATGATGCATGTATTCTTCATGTGGATGAAGACATAAGTTCTTATCAGAACTTCTGGCAAATTGGAAAGTATTACTTTGCCTCAATATTTTCTTTCAAAATCTGGAAATTGGTTTTCTCAGTTCTCTGCTTTAAGTTATATTTATGTGCCTTTAAAAAGTTATTGCCTGACAGAAAACAGATATGCATTGCTTCTTATAATTAACCTGTTCTATGTTCACAGGAATCTTGGCAAGGAGCCTGAGTACAGTCTCAATTTTGTGTGCAGTATAACTTTAAGTTTGCAAGTGGTCCGAATGGATGTAATTGCACTTATAACATTAAACGCAGATAGGTTTGCAAAATCAGAGCCATAGCAAAGCAATGTTGCATCTTATTTTATGAAAGGAGTTAATTTTTGTCTTTGAGTATTTCAAAATATTGATGTGTGTTTTTTGCAACAAAACTAAAGATGTTATGGATTTTCATTTGGTGTAAAGCAGCTCCACTGAAATCATAGAGCCCCACAAGGTAAACCAACTAATGATCCAACTGATGATTATTAATATTAACTTTTCTCAAACATGTGAGGCAAAGAAATTACTTTAATCCTTGCAATATCAAGGACATTAACAGAATACCTGGCAGTGCATGGGTGTCACTAATTCCAATAGCTGCTTGCTGAAGCCCCAGAATTCTGAAACTATAAAACAATTTTTTTTTAATAACACAAGAACAAACATATTATCCATTTGAAAGGCATGAAAACAATAAACATGAACTATATTAGTCTGCAATTCAGGTTTAACATCCTGCATAGTCTTGATTAGAAAATAAAATCTTCGTCCCAAACTCATTGATGTTTCAGAAAGAGTCTTTCATTGACTTCACTAAGTTTTGAATCAGGCCTTAAATGCACTGTTTCTGTAAATTAAATTAAGTGATTTGATTTCCAACCCAGAGTAGCTGTATTGATGCAGTAGCTAAAGCTTTTCTTACCCATGTGAAGTGCATTAGATGCTTTCAGATGAAATTCATGCACGTACAAAAAGAAGTCCATGCTAAACATATCCTACTATTTATTAATGTGAAGTGGGTAGTATTTGATTTGGATTTGGCCTGATTTGGGGGACAGTGATTTGATTAGCTGATTCGGATCACTGTCCTGATTTGATTCGGCCGAATCTGAACCTGAAGATTTGATTCAGCCAAATCTGAACCTGAAGATTTGATTCCGATTTGGAGAATCAACTATTTGGCCATAGACACAGCTTTACATATTTTTTCTACATACGTTGAGGTACCAGGTGCAGTTTGTGAATGCTAATACGGTAGGGCGGATGGAGTGTTCCACAGGAGTGCAGGGGGGACTCCTGTGTGCTCATTAGCAGACCCCCCCATGTGCCCCAGGCTCAGCGATCAGCCACAGGGAAACCCTGGGTGCCGCCCCCAGACCCAGGAGGCCCCAGTCACAAAGCTGGGGGGGAGGGTAGGAGGAGGAGGGGGCCGTGTGCTCTGTGGCGGACCTAGAAGTGGACCATAAGTATGCCTGGTCCACTTCCAGGTCCGCCACTGAGCGTGCAGAAACCCCCCCTGCGCTCCCATAGGATGCTCCATTTGCCCCACTATCTCAGCATTTACGAGCCACACCTGGTATCTCAAGGTATGCAGAAAAAACTTATAACGCTGTGTCTACGGCTGAATCGTCAAATCTCTCCGAACTGAATCAGAGCCTTGTGATTCAATTCGGAGAGATTAACGGGTCTCCTGATTCAAATTGGATTTGGAGATTCGGCCACCAAATTGGGCCGTATCTTCTCCGACTCGAATCAGCGACCGAAGCTTCGTGCAGCCCTACTATTTATGCCCTGAATACTGGCTGCATGAAGGGATTTGTGTTGAAGGTTTCAATAAATTAAGTAATATGATTTAGTGGACAAAGTACTAAGGCTATGTCTATACTCCAGAGTTAAAAATTGCATCTCTGTGGGATACACATAGCACCCGACTTGTCTCAGGGTATTGTTGCCCATGGGTTTAGTATCCCTACTATCTTCAAGCACTACTCACTTGCCACCTCAATATTCTGGTTTTATGTGAAAAGTGTGAATTTTACCCTGAGATTTTGTTTGTACAAGCAAGGGAATGTTTCTAACCAGACTCCAATATTTTCACACAGATACTGATGAAAAAGGTGACAGTCACCGTTTCCTCTAATATTTTAAAATGGTCTAGCTCAGGAATGGGCAAAGTCTGGCCTGTGGGTTGGATCCGGTCAGCAGTGGGAGTTGTGCAAACTGGCCAGAGCCAGTGGGCCTGTTCTGCTCCCCTCACCTCCAGCTGCAACTCCTCCTCTTGTCGCACTGTGCTGTGCCATGCCACTCCAGGCAGTTGGCAGGGGGAAGCTTCAGTGGGAGGGTCCTACCCAGCTCATGGAGATCCAGGCCCAGATCCAGCTCCCAGCCACCTTTCACCCATTCTGCCTGCCTACAGGGATGCTCATTGAGTCAGGCTGGCACAGCGGGTGGAAAGCAGCCAGGAGGTGGAGTCAGAGCTCTATGGGATGGACAGGACCCTTCTGCTGAAGCTTCCTG